CTAAAGAACAGAAAATGAACTCTCAAAGAAAAACATTAAATTACCCTGATTGGTACAGGCTCATTGATGAACACCTTCCCTTTTGCTGCAATGGGTCTTCCACCTAATCCAACCATCTGATTGATCTTTGAGTGACACTGATTATATCTTGTTGTCCTAGAATCCAGAGAGTTCTCAATACTTAGCTTTGAATAAGAAGACATGTTCCATATTTGAAATTCAATCTCCAACATATCGGCCTGGCTGTGATGATGGAGGTCATCATGAGGAATGCTGACGTCAGCCGGTTGAGGTAGTCCAGACAGGAAACCAAAACCACGAGTACCATATACTACCTTTATGGTAAGGTTGCAGTGAGGGAATCTTGCAGTCTGAAAGCATTTCCCCCTCCCCTGCCTTTACCTTCCAGAGAACTAGAGAGGGGCCCATCTGAGATGCTTTCTCCACCTCCACCTAAACACCAACAAATGAACTTTCAAAGAAAGACATTAATTTACAATGATTATTACAAGCTCATTGATGAACACCTTCTCTTTTCCTGCAATGGGTCTTCCACCTAACTGAACCAATTGATTGATCTATGAGTGACACTGATTAAGCGTTGTTGGCCTAGAAACCAGATAGCTCTTGATATTTAGCTTTGATTGTAAAGACCTGCTTCTTTTAAAAAAATTAAATCTCCAACATATTGGACTGGCTGTGATGGTGTAGGTCATAATGAGGAATGCAGATGACAGCACTTTGAGGTAGTCCAGACAGAAAACACAAGGAATAAGTACTAGTACTACCTTTATGTTAAGGTTACAGTGAAAGAATCTTGCAATCTGAGAGCACTTCCCCTCCTCTGCCTTTACCTTCCTTTGAACTAGGGTGTCAGAACCTGCAGCAATTGAAAGATGAACCAAAAGAGGACTGATTTATTAGGGATAATAAATGCTGGGTTTGCTTGCTTTGATTCTGTCATTTGTGGGGGGGGGGGGGGGGGATGAAAGGGGACAGAGCTGGTGTCATCTCGAAGGCCAGGAAGAAGAGGTGTTATCAGGGTCAGGAATTCACAAGGCCAAGACTTGGTGAGAAAGAAATCTGGTGCCAAAGAAGAAGAGGGAGCAGAGGGGGTAAAAGTAGAGGGAAAGTTACATGGGCTTTAGTTGTAGCAATGCTTCGCTTAAAGCTGCATGTACCATCCAATAAAGGAGATTTTATCTGAACCAGGCCTGGTTTTATGAGAATTCTTCTGGATTGGAATTTGGACATTGTAGACCTGACATAGGGAGGCTCCCTTCTGAGATGTGTTTTCCACGCGCATCTCCCCTTGGCACTCAGATGTCTCTGATCAGACATTGTCTAGGCTGTGGGTCTTCCTCCGGTCTCCCAAGATTATCCTCACAGCCCTTTATATCTGTTACTTGCCAGGAATGAAGATGGAATTGAAAGCGCCCCCCTGCCCCCAAAAGATGAATATTATTTACTCTTAAGTCTGAGGCTTCATTGTTTTTCTGTTTACTGTGGACAGTTTTAATCAATAATTATTGTGGCCTTCTAATTTAGGCTTAACTTGGACGATTAAACTGTAAGGAGACCTGAAAATGAATTTTTTTAATTGTCAACTTTGGGGCTCTCTTCCTGTGCATCATTTCAAGCCAACATCACTATCTAAGGGTCAGCGCATAGAAATCTGATACACCAGCAATTAAGCACACAAATTTAATCAATTTTTTTCCTCCTGAAGCAAGCAGCAATGTCATTTTCACACAGATCCAAGTTACCTTCAGAACTTGAATACCAGCAAAATTCAAGTTACTTTCAGACATGATTAATCTTCATTAGGAAAAGCAAAGTGAAATACTGTTTCCTCTCAAACCCAACTCCTGGTGAGCCTAAGGATACATGAGTCGTGTTTTCTGGGCAACAGTGCAGCAAGGCTGCCTGAAGCCAAAGTAAGGATGAATGGCAATCCTATCTTCATATTCTAAGGGAGATTACTTGTGGTATACTATTTAGGCTAAAAAGAAGGTTAATTTCTCTCTGTTATCAACTGAGTCTTCTGACAAGCCCCCGCAAACTCCATGTGTTCTGACAAATCTCTCCCATCCATGTCATTTTCTGTTCTATTCATGTCTTCTCAGAAAATCCATTGCATTTCAGTTACAAACAATTTGTCCTCTGCTCTTCCGCATCCTAAAGCAGGCAGCTGTCCATCCAGAACCATCTTTAAATTTGGGTCTTACCCTTCAAACCAAGCTGCTTCGAAATATCTGAAGTTGTCCTGTTACATTCAGACACAAGGTGGCCCTCTTGGGAAAGCACACTTGCTACAGGGCTTTCTAGAATGCATGTCGGAGTCTTGAACCTCAACCACATCCTCCGGTTGCAATGCTTTAACCTTGAACATCTTCTTAGAAGTTACTCACTTGGCAGAAGACATCAGCTCTGTGGCCTGTCATCTTCTTGTGCTGTTGAGTCAGCAGAGCAAAGGTCAGAAGTAAATGAGAACTGGACTGATCCTTTAATAGGTTTTTGTTTTTTCAGGTGGATCTCCATATCTTCAACGACATAAATGTCTCTCCTTTTGGAGCGCACTTGGATCATCCTTTTAGTCTTCAGTAAGTGGCTCATCTCCATGTTGTATTAGGAGAGTGCTCTTTAATTCCTTTCTGTTTTGCTTTCATAACCTAATTGGCTAAATTTCTTTCAAATGTTCAAGAGTAAAAAAGCACCCTGTTTTCAAAGTCTAATTGAAAAATCAATAATCCAAGAGAGATGATATTCCAGGTGATGGGCAGAAATGGCATCTGTGCTTTCAAGGGTATCATCCATAAGAGTGGTCAGAAATTAGAAAAAACTGTCACAGGTGCAAAGAGGAGGGCTTTTTGTCCAAGGCCACCTGGTCTTTTGCAGGTGAACGGTATTTGTAAACCCCACCTCTGCATAAAGAAAATCAGGAGAGGTCCCTTTGCATCTTGGAGTATTAGATTTTATGTGGAGAAATGATCACTTTTGGCTACTGGGAAGGTATGATGTGAGAGGCAGGAAGGCATGGTACATGGAAAAAAGGAAGGAAGGAAGGAAGGGAGAGAGGGTTTTTGAGTTTTTCCCCCTCAAAGAGTGAAGTCAGTACTGGACAGGAATGTCTGGGTGGAAAAGAGGGAAAGGATCTTCGGATTATTCAAGAAATGTATCTTAATATAACCTGGGGAATTCTTCTGTTCACCTACTTCCTCATCCTCTTGTCCATCTCTCCATCAAGCCTCATCTCTTCTTCACAGGGCAGATCACAGGACAATCAGTGAAGCAAACCACAGGCACCATGACTGTTACTGAAGGACAATCTGTCTCTCTCAGTTGCTCCTATCAATCAACAGATACTTTTAATTACCCATTCTGGTACATTCAGCAGCATGGCCAGGCTCCCAAATGCATTTTGCAGGCTGATGGGGAGGCTTACCAAGGCTTCCAAGCTATTCACAAGACAGGTAACAACAAGAAAGAAGGGACTTTCAACATGCAGAAAGAAGCCCTCCAGTTGAAGGACTCTGCTGTCTATTTCTGTGCCTTCAGAGACACAGTGAGACAAAGGAGATGAGAACTGAATCAAAAACTTGCAAAGGGGGAACAAAATGTATAGGGTGAAGCCAGGAGAGTTTACAAACTCTGGCAAGGATTTAGGGCAGGAAATTTAATTTTAATGCCCATCTTGGTCATGCTAACAATGATCCTGTCCCTTCTTAGCAGAGTTTCCACTGACTTTCTTTTTAGTGCTCAGGCTGGTTTGTTGGCAGAAGGTTAGAAATACACAAAATGCTGGCACAAGTAGATACTGTATATTTTTCTCTTTATGTTTTAACTCTGCACCTAAAGACCAAAAATGAACTCTCAAAGAAAGACATTAATTTATCCTGATTGCTACAAGGTCATTGATGAACACCTTCTCTTTTGCTGCATTTGGTCTTTGATCTTTGAGTGACACTGGTTATATTTTGGTGTCCTAGAATCCAGAGAGTCCTCAATACATAGCTTTGAATATGAAGACGTATTTTATTTTTGAAATTGAATATCCAACATATTGGCCTGGCTGTGATGGCATAGGTCATCATGAGGAATGCTGATGTTAGCCCTTTGAGGTAGTCCAGACAGGAAACCAGAACCATGAGTACTAATACTACTTTATGTTAAGGTTACAGTGAGAGAATCTTGCAATCTGGAAGCATTTCCCCCTCCCCTGCCTTTACCTTCCAGAGAACGAGGGAGGGTCCCTTCTGAGATGTGTTCTGCACCCTCATCTCTCCTAAGAAGCACACTTGAAAATGATCATACTTCACCCTTGAATGTGAATAAAGTAACAAGAAGTGCCACCCTCCCTGGTGCAGAATAATATATTTTTAAAAAAAATACTCCCAGAAAGCCATTGCTTATTCCAAGATCTTTTTTTTTTCTTTAATGAGATGTGTGGAAGCTTTTCTTT